AAATCTACCTCCTTCAAAACCTTTGATTGAACTTATGTCATCAAGAAATAACAAAAACAAGAAATGCCATGCCCGCCGCGCTCTGAAGAATTAGAGAACAATGGGCTATTTATCATCGGATAACATTGCAAAAAATAGCCTACACCAGCTATAACCAGCACTGGGGAAATTGTGCAAATTAAGTTAATCCCCTACTCATGAGATGTTCACATCAACTTCCTCTGTTGTCATTTTTCTTTTTCACATACCATTTGTTTTTTATTTTTTGTGTGCGTGTCTGTCTTTGAGCCAATATCAACCGTAAATGCACCACCGTAGCAAAGGTTGCGCCATACTTCCTGTTGCGGTGTCACTGATGACTTGGATTTTAAAATCTCATATGATCTGACGTGTCTCAGCTTGCCGAGTTTGCGTCAGATCTCACTTTCCATGACTTTTTTTCAAGCCATTGTTGCCCATGGGTTATTGCAATTACCACAGTCATGAGCTTCACGGGGAACTTTTACTTCATTTGGGGTCGAACATGCAGTCATCGTCATATCATGTCATCAGTTTTGTCCTGTCACATTTTACTGACCTTTTCATTGCATGAGTAACCATGTGTACAACATTAATTTTAGTGAAAATCAGCCTCATGATATTATTTGACGTGTTCATTTTCATTGTGATTGAACTTGATTGCAAATATTCCAAACAATGTCAAAGTATTTGCAGTAAATGTAAATTATTTTCAATAATATGATGGTGCATGAAAATAATATCTATCTATCTATCTATCTATCTATCTATCTATCTATCTATCTATCTATATATATATATACACACACACACACACACATATTCTTATTTTAACCCAAATTTAAGGTACGATTTTGTCGATCAGCGAAGGTTGAGTACAATCTTAACGACATGCTGCTCGACTACAGGTTTTAATTTTCATATCGGAAATATTTGAAATTATAGGTTGCTGACAGAATATCCCTGATCAATTAGGTGGCGAATAAACAATAAATTCTAATCTCTTCACTTTAAACAACTTTAAAACATGCTTGGTATGGTCGAATCTCTCTGAATGGTCTGAACTTCTATTTCCATGTGCCACTGTTGTATTGAGCATGCAGGAAAATCTCTTTGTAGCCATCGTAAAACCTGTACAGTATTTGATGTGACATGGAAGCAAAAACAACAACTTTGCCTTCCCTCGTAAAAACTTTTTTTTTAATTTAATTTTTTTTTATTATTCCTTCCATGTCATCTTTGGGGCTCCATAAAATATAACATGTATTTTTCTTCGCTTGTGGTTTCGTTCTACTTGAGCCAAGTTGTTCTTGTAGAATAAGCATCGCAACAATTCTGCCAAAACAAAAAAACAACAACAACAGAAAAAGAAAAACACACTTAATTCTATGCTCATTGAAACGAGTTTGTGACTTTTAATGTTGTATTTTCCCTGAAAACTCAACTCAAATTCTGAATTGTACGATTGAAGCCTTGTTTCACTCCAGAGGTTGGACAGTCTATTTGGCGATAGCACAATAAAGGGATCTCCCTTATAATTCATCCATGCATCCGTTTTCTGTACTGGCTGATGTCATTAGAGTTGCGGGGAAGCTGGAGCCTATCCCAACTTGCATTGGACAAGAGGCATACATTCTGAACTGTTGACCTGCCAAAAGTAGAAAAAAAAACATTTTGTAAACTATTCAGTATTTATTCTGAATATTATTTTATCTACCAATGTCTATTATAAAATTATAACATATATGACCAGTAATCTGGATGAGTATGATGCCAATTAAGACATTTTTCTATTAGTGTTTTTGTGGAGCCACTACAATACTGAATTTGATACCTGCATGACATTCCAAAGACAGTTGCACAATGGGAACAAAAGCCTGGGAAAGTTACAGGAGGTTCAAATAACACCGGTTAAAAATGCTCTGTCGGGAAAACAGATGAGTCGTTATTAGGTAGTATGGGTACAAAATGATTGTTGTTGTTTTTTGTTGACAATTAAGCAGGCAAAGGGAGATTTGACACTCTTCTACTTTGAAGCATATTCACATGAGTTTATCTTTAAATAAGAATATTTTGTTCTTTGGTTTGACGAGGACCACTTGCCTTCTCATATCAAACACACCTTTCGTGTTATGTCACCTGTGAATCAGGTAGTAGTTGATCAATTTCTCTCTGACCCGGGTCTGAGCAACAGCAAAATGAAAAAGCTGTGAAAGATGCCAATCATTCCAATCACATGCTGCTGGATTACAAATTTTTTATCATTGTGTTTTCCAAACAATACATTTTTAATCAGTGACAAATACTACTCCATGAGTGTGCCTCACACATTTAACCTGCCAATCAAATCACCGTCTTTTCCTGTGCACTTTGTGAATTCCCGCTCGACTGCCAACAATCCCAGTTTGCGCAACATCTGTATGAGAGGTGACTCATGCGAGGCTCAATATAAGGAGGAACTTTCCTCTTCAGCACTACATTCAAACAGCAGAGCTCAAAGCAACTCGGCACAGGACAGAAAAGGAAGGACAACAAGTCGACAAACCACACTGTCACTTCTTCGGCGAGTTTTTAGAACGGCAACTTCTTCATTTTAAAGTTTGAGCTCTTGTACAATTTGAGAACGACAGAATGATGAGCAAAGTGATCCTCAGTGCTCTGCTGGTCCTGCTGGCCTCTGTGGCTATCAGTGAAGGTAAGCTTACTTTGTTGTTGCATCGTGCAGCTTTGGAATTGCTACTCTTGCATATTTGGAGTTATCACTGCATGCAGACCGATCGCAGATGAGCATCCGAGCTCTTTCACTAAAACACATTCCCCCCCTGTTTCCTCGCAGGAATGACTCTAAGAAGTTTGGGAGTTGAGCTGCACTGCCGCTGCATCCAGACGGAGAGCAGACCCATCGGCCGCCACATCGAGAAGGTTGAGCTGATTCCCGCCAACTCGCACTGTCAGGAGACCGAGATCATGTAAGCACTTTTTCCCAGTTCTGACGCTAATCTGACCTTTCAGAGATGGAACAACCTTATTTGGAACAATCCAATTATGCATGTTCTGAAGGCACCTCTGTCTCTTGCTTTACAGTGCTACACTTAAAAAGACTGGCCAGGAGGTGTGCCTTGACCCTGCGGCTCACTGGGTGAAGAGAGTCATTGAGAGGATCCTCAATAAGTAAGTTCAAATCTATTCAACTACTTTTACCGTGAATATTCATACCATCAAATCTGCATCATCCGATGAGATCCGATATAAGAGATGCATCACAAACGCGATCTTTTCAAAGCGGCAGTGGTCACATAGTGCATTGTAAAGATGTAATACTGAAAATAGTTCAAACTAAAAGACACACTCGAAACTCATTAGAATGCACGTGCACAGCCAATAAATTGTCCGGTCAGTCTAAACTGATTTAAAAAGTTAAAAAGCATATCCTTTTCTTTTTCCAGCAGCAAAAGACGTTGAACAGCCGTCCAAATGGGGAGGAATGCTCCGCGAGCTGCATTCACGAAAATGTGGAACAAGTACGAAAGTGTTCACTCGATCAAGGACTGGCCTCGTTTAAAAAACAGAGAACAGCTGACTTGAACAACTGTTGAAGCCATCAACAGATGAATTATGTTTGAATCAAACATGTTATTTATTTTCAAGTACGCATGTGTTTGGACACGCACAGTCTGTCGTGCAGCCTCTTCACTGAGGCTAAGCTGCAACAAAATGTTACTACTAATATTGCTTTAACTTATGCTGCACATATTTAATATATTTATGAAGTGTTTATCTATCTGAATGCAATATTTGTATGTTTTGTCCTGCACCCGTTTGATGAATAAAAGAAAAAAACAAATTAAGTTAGTTGTTACTTGTTATTTTTCACATTTGAATGTGTTGCACTTTAGTGCCAACACGTGTTTGTAAAGATGATATGGTGTAAAATTAGCCCAGAATTCACCATTCACCTAACCCTAACCCAAACATCAATTGTTGATCACAACATTAGGGACACCCGCACATTATAATAAGAGTGAATATATGAACTTTGTCAAAAATTCTGCCTTCACGAAAGAATCTCTCTGACGCACAGATTCAGTTCCTCTATTGAACGTATACGAATGAATAGATGTAAGGTAATGATTAAGTTAGACTGGCTGACATTTTGAAAGCAATGTTGCCTCATGATGAAAAAAAATAATGAAAGTGTTTTGAAAGTGTGTTGCATTGTACTTAATTTTATGTCATCAAATGGCTGCACCAAATATAATCATCTGGATCCAGATACATTTTTGAAGGGGACGTAGTTTACTTGGCAGCACGGTGGAGGTCGACTGGTTAGCGTGTCCGGCTCACAGCACAGAGGCCGAGGGGTCGATTCCAGGCCTTTTTTTCAGTATTTGCGGCAGGACTCAATCTATGACCCCTGCGACGAGCAAGGGTTTACTATTTTAAAATGGAAGTTAGCAACTCACAAAACAGCAGCTCATTTCTCCTCTGATTGAATATTAATGAAGAATCTCAATTATGCAATGATGTCATGATGTTTTGAAAAAATAGTTACCACAGACAGCTCTGATTTCACCCCTTTGTCGATCTTACGCGTGGCCACCAGGGAGCGTAAGTTGAAGTACATTATCTGGGAATGGCGGATATCATTCTATGATCAATTGTGATGCATTTACCTTCTGCTTTAGCCCACAATCGTTTATCTGTGGCATTTCATCTTTGCAAGAGCATCTCTCAGCATTTATAATGAATTTTATCTTATCATCTTTCCCCTTATGTTGTGGTGTTATGAATGAAGACTTGTTGATGTGGTCTTTGTTTGTTTGTTTGTTTGTTTGTTTGTTTTGTAATGACCAAAATAACATGCGTGGTGCATCTAATTCATAGGTGTCAAGGCTGAAAAGATTATTTGCGTGTGGCCAGAGTGCTGCGGCCGAGGGGGCGGGACTGAGAGCACAGCTGGGGATAGGTACGCCGGTGGAGCGCTGTGGTGAGCGCAAAGCGACCAGCCTCGCAGCACACACGCGGTCACCGAAATGCGCCAAAACATGCTACGTCCGCGACTAGACGACGAATAACACCACCGCGGCTACTCATATCACCGGAAGTGCACTCTTCCTAACTGGAGCGCTTTTATTTTTTATTTTCTGCTGCAACCAACCATCCTCCTCACTCCTCACTCCTCCTCCTCCTATTCGTCCTCCTCCTCATCATCAGACCTCCTGCAGATGAACGCCGTGAGTGCATGAAAGACTCACTGGCAGCTCGGACGACAAAACCGGACCATTGCGTGTGGTGGGTTTGACAGAGAGGGAGAGAGAAAATACACCCCTGAGCGTCCCTTCCACCATGGCGTTAACGATCTGCACGAGATTTACCGACGAATATCAGCTGTTTGAGGAGCTGGGGAAGTAAGCAATTACTATTATTATCATCATCATCATCATTATCATCATCTCCATCGCCATCATGTTACGTCATTGCTGTATTAAAATGTCAGCATGTTACGTAATAGGCCGCGTTGGTTTAAGGACACAGATTCCTAGCCCCCCTCCTTCCCCAAAGCGCGTGCGTGAATGGCTGTGCAAGTGCGGATGGAACATGAGGGGCATGACTGTGTGGGTGTGAGCGCGCGCGTTTGTGCTTGCGCTGTGTGCGGGGGCGGGGGGGGGGTATTGCCGCGTTTAATGCAGGGATGTTCAGTCGCATCCCATTCGTCTTAATCCCACATTTTATTCCAAGTCCTGTTGACATCGTTGAGTAAGCGTGTGACGTCTCTACCTTATCATGTACAGTGGCCAGTGTTTACGGTGCCAATAGGGCTCCCATATTCCAATTCAAGTCCCCATGTGTAAATAATTGTTATTTTGTGCAACAGCAATCCCCTCAATGTGCATGTGTGGTCAATCACTGGCTGATTTGACCAGCACCCCAAGCCCACTGTGCGCAAAGGGAGATGGAACAATCCCTCTCCACAGTGCCCACCCCCCCAAATAAAAAAGTTGGAAAGCTTATAGTCCTTAAGAACATGTAGTCCAATCAGCTGCAATACCTCCCATGTATCCGAGAATAACAATGAAGGTATACCACTTATAAGATCTTTGAACTCACCTGATCTCCTTCCTGTACACATTTGCCACTCCCATTCTGTAGACATTCCTGAATTTGTCATCAGAAAAAAAGAAAATGTGAATTGCAGTTTACCACATAACCAGAATTTATTATTCTTTTTCAGAGAGTATAATACAGAGAATCCTCAAGAATTACATTCCGAAAGTGGCGGAGTAACCCAAATTTGGGACGTGCGTAGTCTCGAGATTCCCAACCACTATGCCACAGTACATGAATGTGTCGCGAGAGATCATCAGATCTGTCGTGGGAGATTATCCAATTTCTCAACACTTAAAACTCATTCAGTGCCAGCTATTTTCAAACCCTTTTTTACCCTTACACATTTTTACCCTTACAAAAAAACAAACAAACACGTACCTAGCATTGAATGTCCTCATTCTCTTTGGCATTGAATGAGTTTTAACTCATTCAAAATAATTCCTCTTCGTTCATCAAGCTATATGCAAGAAATTTATAGTGACAAGCAAAACAATCAAAGGCTAATTGACCTGTGTAGTTACATTTTGTGACATTTCGGTTTGTCTAACATGAACCTATAACATAGTAATGAAGCCAGAATTTTAAATATATGTACGGAAAACCCTTCTAAGTCATGAACATAAACCGAAATTTTATTGCCGTGGAGCACAAAGACATATTCGTTATGTTACGTGCGCAAACTACCGGTAGTTTGTTGCATGGTTCATAACCTGGAAACTTCATATAGTGTTTCAGTTGTAAAACACGAACACCCCGTGTATCGTTGTGGAGAGAGAAAAATTCATTCGGCCACAGTTCATCATTTCAGTTGTAGTTAGCAGCGGTGAGAAATTGCCAGAGGTTTTCGTTGAGCAGTAGGTTTAAAAGGATTGACTCAATAATTGATGAGATGATCGTTGGGAATTCAGGTTGATAATGCGTAACTGGTTCATTATTAATCGCGTGTTGAAGCAATGGAATTCAAATGGAAGGCACTACTTGGCTGTAAGCAGGAGTGGTGCTGGCGATTCAGCCTCAGTGGTATGGGGTCAAAAGAAGAACAAATGTCATCAACTAAGAAACACATCCATGCTTTGGCACCCCCTCCGGGTAGAATTATTCTGCTAAGTATGACAGCGGCATTGAAAAAAGGAGTTCAGAACATGATGTTGAGATTCTCCCATCCTATTAAGATATCTTAACCCCTCATGGCATGCTTTTGTCTCGATAGCGTTCCCTTATTTGACTTCCGGATCCAAAACATTTGCTGTCAAGCTGAGCTCAGCCACACACAGATGCACTTGACACCGCACTTCACAGTGAATCCACGGGTAGACAAGTGCACGCGTTATGTAACATGTGAACGCTTTTAACATTTCTTCAGCAAATCCTTCATGAAATGGAGGTAAGCTTTCGTGGCAGGCTGCTCACTTTGCAGTATGAGATAGAACATGCGACCCATCTCTGTGTTTTTCCGATGAGCCTGTTTTAGTGTATCTCACCAAATAATTTAGTTGTAGAGATCTGCTTGGACCAGGTTTCACCTAAGGTGTACGGTATTAGAAGTCAGAGGTTAGAAAAAGTACGACGTTGCGGAGGAGGGAAAGACTGGAAGGGGAAAATGCACAGACCGAGACAGAGGATGAATAACAAAATGTTTTGTGTGTGTGTGTGTGTGTGTGTGTGTGTGTGTGTGTGTGTGTGTGTGTGTGTGTGTGCGTGTGCGTGTGTGTGTGTGTGTGCATACAGAGCTGAGAGGAGCTGAGGCAGGCAGTCCTGTCCAAGGCTGCATTTAGAGATGCAGCTCCTTCAAAAAGAGCCGACCTACTTTTTGGTGGTCTGCGCACATGTGCCCCCATCGGCACGACAGCACTATACTCATCGTAATCGTTTACTAACCACCTTTTTCTGTTCCAATTGGTCCAACTTGGCCCCGGTTGGGACGCTGCATACCTGAAGTGAAATGAGCTGCGCAGTGCCTGCTAAGCACACCTTTGCGATGCTGAAATGCGACTGTAAATTATTTATTTTTAGCTCAGCCAACTCAGAGGTGACTCCCTAGTGGCAGCTGAGCGCTGCTTCATAAAATCTGACAGGCTCGCTAAATCAGGCTCAACCTAAAACTCCAGCTAACTACCCATCTCTCCCGGTACCATTAAAGTTCGAATTGCATTGCCCTTTTTTTCCCCCTTGCTGCGTTACAAGAGCTACTGTCCATCCGTGCTGTAATTTTAGCACCGTCATGAAACACACAATGTCAGAATTGTATCACAAGACAATCGACAGAGTAATCGTCACAACTAGCAATCAGCTCCAATAGAAATGGTAGTAAAAAATAGAAAAGCTAGTAAAAATCATCTCTTTCCAAAGCTAATGAAAAATGTATTCATTGAATCGCTGAGCATAATGAAACAGCATGCATTTCTACACCAATGTATACACCAATGAATACACTCTTCAAATTTTACCTCAAGATAGTGCAGGTACCTAATGCTTTGGCTGTGCGTGAAATCCGTTTACTTGTCAGAGACAAGATCTGCGTTACTAAATATAATACAAAGCATGGATTATGTCATTGTGTTGTGGTGACTACCCTGCCCCAGAATAACAAAAAAACAACAAAAAAAAAGTTGAAATTGTCACTCTTTGTCTTCTTTTCTTATAACCCATTTTTGATACTGTTTTGTCCAGGGGAGCCTTTTCCGTGGTCCGCAGGTGCGTGAAGATCTCCTCTGGTCAAGAGTATGCTGCCAAAATCATCAACACCAAGAAGCTCTCTGCCAGAGGTAGGTTGCCGACACAAACAAACATGCGCAGTGGCACTCGAGCAGGAGGACACGTCCCATGTGCAGCCGAGTTACGCGTGCATGAAGTGTGAATATTGCAGCTCCTGTATGATGGCGCTTGGGGCTCTTAGAGAGAGAAAGTGTGTGTTTGTGGGAAGGAGGAGTCACAGTCACTGGGATTTTTCGCTTGATCATGTTTTTTTTTTTGTTTTATATGGCCTGCACATAGAAAAGGGCAATATATTATTTGCGCGCGTGTGTGTCTGTGCATGTGTTCCGAATCGATTCATCAGAGCTCTGGCTGGTCTTGGCATCCCAGGGGCAAATCTCTTGCAAAGCCGACCCAGTTCTTTCAGATCCGTCACTGTAATTGTAGCCACTGGCCTGGTTGCCTGTAGGCTTTTATGCATACGTACGCGCGCATGTACGTGCATGAACAGGTACATTGTTAAACGTTATTAAAGACGACCTCATACACTTCTTATACACTAGAGGTGTGTATCTCTCCGAGTAATTGATTCAATTTGATGCACTCTTTTAAGGCAAAACCGATTTTCATATTCAAATCTTTTTTTTCTTTTTAAATGACCCCCTAATTCACACCTATGTCGTCAGAAATAAATTCACACAGACAACCCAGGGATCAGAATGCAGCGTAAACAATGGTATGCCTTTATGCCAGTGTGAACCAATGGCTGCTGTCTCTAGCCATTATGCTGCGGCCTTTTCTCTAAAATTGAATTTGAGTATAAAACTGAATTTGTAAGAAAAAAAACAAAACATTGTGATTGCCAACTGCAGGGGTGTCAAACTCATTTTTGTCGCGGGCCACATTGTAATTACGGTTTTCCTCAGAGGGCCGTTCTGACTATGAAACCATTTAAATGTTTAATCACCTCCTCATATTATTACATATGCGGTGCACAACAAATTGATGAAAAACTTGTTTTGAAAGCAGACTATTTTCTTGGCTAAAAACATTTTCAGCAGGGCAATTTCAAACTTCCATCCATCCATTTTCTAATCCGCTTCTCCTCACGAGGGTCGCAGGCGTGCTGGAGCCTATCCCAGCTGCCTTCGGGCAGTAGGTGGGGGACACCCCGAACTGGTTGTCAGCCAATCGCAGTCCACACGTAGACGAACAACCATTCGCGCTCACAGTCACACCTAGGGACAATTTGGAGTGTTCCAGTAACCTGCCACGCATGTTTTATCAGTACTACTAGAGTTATCGTGTGGTATCGGTGAGTACTCAGTGTGACTATTCGCAGTGCTATTGGTCTGAAAAAAGAGGCATCAAAGATCCCTAATAGATACATCCGTCCACGGATTGTACCTTTTCAACTTTAGGGACGATCCACATTTCGCTATTGTTTAGGATCATCAGATCAATCCGATTGTTTTCGTATGTGCTGTAATGCGAAAACCAGCACGTCTGATCCAGATTGTGCACATCCCACAATTTTCATGCTTCGACTCCTCGACCATTGAAATTGTGCTCTTGTTCCTTTGATATGGCTCCTGCCTTCTGCCTGCGATTTGCATATATTTCGTCCAAGACTAACATGTCACCCTCTATTCCTGTCTTCATCCCCTTGTCACACCATGTTTCAAACGTCCTCGCTGACTCTGCCTCTTTCTTTCCACAACAATTTGCTCTTTCGCTCGCTCATGTGATCCCAGAGTGCGCCGTTGGTAATAGACACCTTTGCAGCAAGGATCAGTGATCCTCCACATGCATGCTGGGAAAGATTTAAAAATAACTGCAAAGGGATACCTCACCCCATATGCATTCAGCTCATCCGCACACACACTCACGATAGCTCTGTATTTTTCCCTCCATTTGTGTGGACATAGCTGACATGCTGGCGTGTCAGATACGGTCTTACCCTCTTTCCGCGATAAGCCCTAGGGTTGCATTGCCGATTCCCTCCCCTCTGGCAGGATCAGGGCTTCCCACCCCCACCTACTCTGACCCATTACCTTAGTGTGTTTGTGTGCTTGCCCAAGCATTTCTGTGTACGCGTGTAAATATAAAGAACTGAAAGGGGGTGAGTGTGGGATTGGTTGCGGGAAATAACGCAGCAATAACGCAGTGTATAGTGTATTGTGTTTCTGGTTTTGCGTGCACATGTGTCCTTCAATCTGCAATCCAGATTATGTAGCATTCCAATAACAGCCAGCAGAAGATGCGTCAATGCATGAGAGGAAGCAGGAAAAGGAGAGAAAGCAAAGGCTAGGAAGTACAAGGAGAGAAAAAGTGAGCATGATGGCATTCAACGTGTGTGTGTGTGTGTGTGTGTGTGTGTGTGTGTGTGTGTGTGTGTGCACGCACACACGCCATATTCCTCATAGCATTTCCGCGCTCCCCTCTTATGCATGCATCAGTGTCACTGCGACACTGTCTGCCAGCTTTTGTCACTTTGCGTTTGCACGTGACGGGCAGCACGGGGCTCGCCCCGTGTGCGTTTGCGGTGCCTCATCTGTGTTTATGTGTTTGTTTATATGCATATGAGCCTTCTTGTTTGAGTGTCTGTGCGCTTACTTCACTTCCTGGCTATCTCGACCCTCTCAGCTTATCTCAGCTGTTCGCCCTGGCGATAAAGACGTCTAACATTTGCCCTACTCATGTGTAAATGTTGCAAAGCATTATGGGAGAGACACTGATAATGACGAGGCAGCAATTTCAAAGAGGGATACATGACATGGTAGTAATACAACAGCTACCATGAGAATTGTTATGAAAATGTCTCACATTCAGAGTGAATGCTTTCTCTGCTCAACCAATGTGATTTTATTTGAATGACATTGCGGTGTCATGGTAACAGAAATGGCCAGTCTACCACAGCCTCAATAGTTTAAACGTCACGTAAAGAACGGTCCTCGTGCGTCTTCTTCTTCTCTGCTCTTTTATCGTCTATCTGCCACTGCGACTGCGCCTTGAAAAAAAAAATGAACGAAGAGGAGAGACAGAAGGGATGGGTGGGGGAGAGAAAGTCGGGAGAGATCAGGGGCTCAAATGACTCACTGGGTACTTGAAGCTAAAAATATATGTTGATTTTTCTGCTCTCTCTCTCTCTCTCTCTCTCTCTCTCTCTCTCTCTCTGTGCCACATGACAGCGGCAGTGCAGCTGGCTTTACACACACCCACACTCACACACACACACACACACACACACACACACACACACACTCACACACTCACACACACACACACACAGTGATTTAATCTTTAGAAATAAGTCAGGTTGATTTGATTTATTTCATTCAATGCTTACTTGTCTGGCCAGCTGGATTTCAAGTGTGCAACTGTGGGACTGAATTATGAACTGAAGGAAGTGCACCCGTCTTTGTGTATTTTTGCAGATGGCTCATTTAAGCAATTTCTAGAACTTTGGTTCGGTTTTGAAGGGTTAAAATCTCCTGAGGTATAGGCAACATTCAAGCAAAGGATGTACTGTAATTTACAATGGCATACTAAAACCACAAGTGAACATAGCGCTTAACAAAGGAGTGGACATCCAGTAGAGTACACTAAAATGATCTAAATACAAGAGCTCAAATGACGCAGATGGACACAAAACACTGATCAGGTGAAACGAACTTACAAATACAATGCAATTAAAATGACAGTGGAACTTTTAAAGTGATGGTATAATGATACTAAAACAAACACACGGTGGACAAAGTAGTTGATAAAAGTTTAATAGTGGCAACAAAAAAAAAATAATCTGGTGGTCTACAGGCCTAAAAAAGTTATCCATCCTTGACCACCACAGACCACACTTACTTTGGTTATATAGCGTATTGGTGGACCAGCCAGGACACATCTCAATTTGGTAAGTCCTATCATCAGTGCTACTGTTCCCGTGCATAGTTGTCTACAGTGCCTGTACATTCTTAAGCATGTGATTTACTGGCTTGACCATTGCTATTTACTGCTGTGGCTCAGCCATACAGTAAATCACACCTCACACCTGTAGGAGGAGCCTTGAAACTGTCGCATATCAAAACTCTTCTTGTCTTTGAAACATCGGGATTTAAACACAAATTGACTGACAGAACTTTTTAGGTTTATATACTCATTAGCAAACCATATGTATCGAGACTAATTGTCAGTCCTCATCCGCCTCAGTGTCTTTGCTCGGTTTATTTTTAACCTTTGCCCTCAACAATCAACACCATCCATTCTCCATCTTTTCGTTTTTCCCTGTCCCATGTGATTCTACAGTTTTTTAAATCTTCAGTCCGGTCACCCTTGCTGAGTGTTTAGGAGTCACGGCATTCACAACAGTCCAGAGTGATCAAGTATTAATAGACTGAGGACATTGATATGACGATACAGCTACTTGCTGTATCGTCACTTCGCTCAAAGTGGATCTCGTAGAAGGCAATGACAGATGGATGGTCAATTGGATTGTCAGAATCAGCTTGCGAAGACAATTTACATGAGCCAAAACATGGGTGCACCTGCACAATCCGATGTGAGCCAGAAACTAATAAGTCAGTTTTGATTGGCACTCTCAGAGAGGAATAAAGTGTTCATATTGTGGTTGTGGTTGATATACAGCACTTGCATTACATCTCATTTGACTTGAAAGGTGAACATTCTGGTGTGACCGGTGAGCATCTGAGCATTGGGTTGGTTATCCCTGTGACAATGGGACTTGTGTGTGTGAATAATAGGGTTCTTAATTTGTAGCATTTGTCATCTCTCGGTCTCGCTGGTATGTTTGCACATGTGTTTACCATTCATCTAGTGTGTGGCTGTGTGTGTATGATGCATATGCTCAGTACATTACGAGGCTCCCAACGCTACTCTGGGGACAGTTTTATCTCTGACACCAGCCACATTTGGTTTCTCCTCCGAAGAGAAAGCAAGGGAGTAATCAGTCTCATAATTCTTCCTCTATTGGGAACTAGAGGAGAGTGACAGCTTTTCATTGTCCCTCAGGGTTTCATTAGAACCGCCGGCTTCTGCAGGGCTAGGATGCAACCAT